TAAGGGCTTTGAACTTTAATAACAAGATCTCATGCCAAGTATATCTCTATAAGATTGGCATGTGCATTTGTGGCAATAGCTTGAGACAGGAACAATTTTTTTTCTCTACTATTTCAAGGGAACACTTCTTTCTTTCTCATATTATAAGTATCTGAGTAAAAACCAAAAGGACTGCAAATGTTAGGCTCAATGGGCGTCAATCTTTTCAGGGAATTTCAAATCAGAGTCGTACTCTCCACCCTCTGCCTACCCCCTCAAGCCAGGACTAGCTATAAAACCTAGCTACCAGAAAGAGAGGAGCAAAAAGATAGGGAGTAGGGACCAGAATAGTGCAAAAGAGGTTATAGAGAACTTAAAAATGATTTCTACTTCTCTCTACCTCTGGGGATGATTTTTAGGGAAATCTTATTAAGACAGTAAAATTTGTTGGTTTTCTAAATAAAATGGTCTTGTGATTGTTTCTTTTCCAGAATTTGCTAAATATTGACAACTCATTGAAATAAATCCCTTCAGCAAGGCATGACTTAAAAATCTTGTAGTGTTCCCATGGATTTTCATGCACAATGGGGGATGGAAGATCAAGTAGTGGATGGCGCATGGACACAAAGGAATTGTGTGTCATTGTTTGATGGAGTAGTGGTGGGGCTTGTAAAGAGATGTGACCACTCTTCAGAGGATCCATCAAATCACAAGCCAAGGAACTAAGAAAGAACAGAGTGCTGTCTTAGAATTCTGATGTATTTGTGCTAAGAACAACATAAAATGCAGCCCACCCCGACTCCTGGTGGGCAGATACAGTGTACAGACATCCAGATGTGTGTAAGTGGCAGCACTAAGCTTTGAAATTGAAAAGACTAGGAAAGTGAACCCCTCCCTTCAAATTCCACTGAGATCTATGTATCCACCAACATTTGTGTGAAGGCATTTAGACTTTAGAAGAGAGAGAAAGGGTGAAAGAAAGACATCAGGATTTGTACCAGGGAACATAGTGAAAGTTCTGCTGGACATCTTTGTCAATTCTTCTCCTTAGATTGCCAGGTGAGAGGAGGACAAAACACGGAGAGAAGGTTTTGATTGGATAATAGCTGAATAATAATATATTCGTTTGATTGAATTTTTCTGCTAAAGAAACTAAGTGGCAGAATTTTAGTCTCAGAGAAGTGACAGTGATAAATAAATTGTACCCAAAGTCATTGAACTACTTCATGGCAAAGATGGAATGTGTACCTGGTCTCTTCTGTCTTGAAACAGTTTCTTGTCAATTATCGTTAAATATTGTCTGTCACCACATCCTCATATATCCAGATACCTACTAACAGCTCCCTTCCTTATACAACCTAGACTTGATGTTCCCACCCTGACCAAGTGTCACTTAGTTATTTATGTTTTTTTTTTCTCCCCAAAGGCCCCCAGTATGTAGTTTTATATGATAGTTGTACATCCTTGTAGTTCTACTATGTGGGATGCCGCCTCAGCATGGCCTGATGAGCCATGCTGGGTCCATGCCCAGAATCCGACCCAAGACCCCTTGGCCACTGAAGCTGAGCGTGAACTTAACCACTCAGCCACGGGGCCAGCCCCAGTTAGTTTTACTACCTTTTCATGATAAATATCTAGCAAAACACTGAACCTGAGTTTATTCATCTGTCCTATACATTGGTTGCTGGGAGCAGATGGGGGAAAATGTCACAAGTTTTCAGACCAGTACAAAGAAAATACATTTTTCTTTAACTAAAACTGGACTTTCAAATCTTTCTATACATTTTATTTTGTATCCTCGGGTAATTATTTCTCACATGTTGTAAATTGATTTGTTCACATCTTCTCTACTCAAACATCTCACAAGTGCTTACACCTGGGAAATTTCCCCCTTCTCTTGTTAAAGGATAATCTCCCAATTTCTACTGTAACACTTTGCTACTCCTTTTGATCTTTCTCTACAGTTATCAACTCTTTATCCTACATCTTCAAATTCATTTTATCTACTGATTTCTTCTCATTAGAATTTAAAATTCCTACGTGTCTCCTAACACAGTACTAACCACATCTTCTTACATGAAATATCTCCTTTTGGCTTCCCGAATTCTCATTCTCTCCCAACTTTCTAGCTACTCATGTGCAGTTTTTAGATAATTTCGAAGTTCATAAATGCAAGTGTGTGAACTGGATGCACAAAAACTACCTAATTTTGGTATGAAATATGTAGGTTCTGAAGTCACACACCATATTTACTGGGTCCTGGGGTATATGAATTTGTCCATTAAAACTCCTCAGGGTTCTGCTGCCCTGTCAGGTTTAGGACCATTGTTAAAAAGACTTCTTCCTTTTCCATCACTTCTATGTCAGTAGTCTTCAGAATTCTGTTCTGAGCCCCCCATTTAATTTTCTCTGGACCATTTCACACATTTTTATACCATCAATTATAATTGAAAAGTGAAATCCCACTTTCTATAGTTACAGCCTGGTTACATCAATTACTTCTTCTGTGACTTTGGGCACGTCCCTTATGTGTGTGCTTTGGTTTCCATTGTTCTAAATAGCGATAATAATAATGATTATTACATAGAGTTTTCAGGAAGAATTATAAATAATTGTAAAACCCTTAGAAGAGTGCTTAGCACATAGTAAAAATAGATAGATGATAGATCAATAGATAAATAGATAGATGATAGATAAATAGTAGACAGATAAGCACACACACAGCTGAGCTTAGCTCAAATTGCTGACAAGAAAATCATGAACAGATGATTTGCTTATTGTTTTAAGACATTTCATTTTGGGTTGTTTGCTACACAGAAATAGATAACATACAGAAATGCATGTTTAGTTTTTCTTTAACTAGCGTGTTATGCGATCCAAAGGTTTGTGATTTTTAACCCAGAGGGTAATGCCATACTCTCACCTAGAACCAAATGTCCTCCACAATCTAGAGGAGATATTAAAATATGTCACTCATTTGTTGATAGATCAAAGATATCAAGCTACTTCTCTAGTCTAATTTTAATGTTTCCCATATATTCCATCTTTTCACCACTCCCATAATTCTTTCCACACTCCTCTCTCTATAATTATTTTAATATCTCATATCATGCCTCCATTTGTATTAGCCTTCCACATGCTTTTCCATCCAACTGAATTCTACAGCCCTTTAGGAATTCAGTTCAAAGTCTATCTCCTTTGAGAACATTTCCCTTCAAGGCACAGAAATATTTTTTCTGTGATCTGTTATAACAAGGATAATTGTCAGTTGAATCTACCCCGAGGCTTACTTTTCCAGAATCTTCCAAGAAGCATTTGCCTTAAGAACTCTCTCTGGTGTCTTTGCCCCAGGCTCAGGCCATGACTCACCACTTTCAGAGCAGTGGAGGAGAGATTTCACATAAGAAAAATAAATCGTGGGAAATAAATTATGACTACTGATTTATTTTGCCCCCGGCATGTTAGTGAGATTCTAAAGTTTTCTAATCCTCTAGAGTAAGTAGAATAGACCCCCAACCTCTGTAACTGCAGGTAATAGTTGACTGCCTGGTGAAATTTACTAAAAAATGCCTTAATACCCTCTTAAAATACAAAATACAAAATACAAAATACAAAAAAGTTGCAAAAGTATTCTGACTCAAATTATATCTAAGAATAGAAATCTTCAGAGCCTAATTACTAGGAAAAGAGGCAATGTGGAAATCTTTAGATTTTTCTAAACTTAACATAGAACTACATAAAAGTATGTTTATAATCCATTAATATATCAGAAGTAAATATTTATCAATGACTCTCTGAATAGCAAGAATATCGAAGTATTATTGTCTCATTTTGCATGGTTAAATGTTTCAACTGATATTTGGTAGACAAACTTTTTTCAAGTTAGATAATAAGTTATCAATTAACATGGACCTCACTATAGAGCCAAAGTTTTAGTGTTTGAAATGGTTCAGTACTTTTGAAGGCATTTTTCCTCCTAGTAATGCCACTAAGGCAATATCTCACTTGTCTAACTACGTACTTTTCAAATAAAATAAAAAAGGAAATGTATTAATTAGAAAAATCTAGTTTTCACAGTAGAAACAAGATTTATTAAGGAGTATAGGCAATATTCAATGTTCTTCTTATCAGTTGAAAACTTTGTAATAGTGTAAATGATAAAAATATTATTAATTTTAGATAGATTCCTGATTTGGTGATGTTGTTTTGGTGGGGTTTTTTTTAAGTAGAAAATTTGCAGTACCTTTTAATGAAAGAATTAATCACGGTTATGCAAAGAAGAAACTCACTAAATGACATAAACCAAGCTGTTTAATGCTGCTTTTATTATTGAGTAGAGTTCTGATTTCTCTTAATTATGGAAGTTAGAACTAGTACTAATGATACATTTTTTATTTCCCTCTTGTACATTTTATAAAATTAGAGATTGAAATGGGTATTGGATGTGCCAGTCACATAAAATGTGTCTTGCCCCACAACACCACCCAGAAACTGGTTATCTACTTTGCATGTATTTCTAATATGAAAATGTCTTGTTTTGACATTAAAACCTTTTTGCAGAGGTTTTAATAGCTACTGCCTCCCTTGCCATCTCTTCCACCCTTTAATTGCACAAATCTAATATGTTTGTACATCAACTACTCCTAATGAGTGTTATGTCAGTCATTTATTTGGCTTCCATCTAGAAATTATTTCTGCATCGGTGTTTTGTAAATGATTAAATACTTTATCAAGAATCTATACATATTCTGATATATTTACAAGCTCATTTTAGGTAAGGATCATGTTCTAAAGTGGACTAAAATATTTTTTTTCTCGTGGATATAGAGAGACCTTTTTCTTTTCGATTTTAACCCTATGTATGTAACTTCGACAAAACTCTGTGTTTGCAATTTCCAGGGATGAAAGCTATAATTCTACACTGCAGGTCACATTGAAAGGGACATCCTGTACTTACATTTGACAGTAATAAAATGGTATTCCTCAGGAAATTTAATTAACAAGTTGAGGTTATAATGTACTTAATGGCATTTCTCATCAAAACATTTCAAATTGCTTTTTAAACATTAACTCATTAATTCTTATAGCACTCAGGGGAGGTAATTATGTACTCAAGCATACTTAGTCATTTGAGTCTATTCATGGTCATTTGTAAAACTCTCTTCTTATATCCTAAAATAAACATTTGTGATTGTGTGATTACACAATTAATTGATTAATTTGTATCCTCATATTATTTTTTCTGATAAGTTCAAGGTGCTAAGCTAAGTTGAAGAAAAGACATTGGAATAAAATTAATTTGTGGCATTTCTGATCTCTAGGTTTAGACCTTATACTGACTCATGGTCTCTCCCTAGGTGATATCTGTGTTTTACTGTGCTTTGAAGGAATAAGAAAGATAGTGAATTTGGCATTTAGAAAGATGACGAAATGTCTGGGTTCTAGAAGGTAACTGGATAGGACTGAAAACAAATGTGTTGATATCAAAGCCCAAGAAAGTCCATGTGCAAATACATCGCTTGTATATTTCACCAAAAAAGATCTTATTGAAAATCAATAATAACTAATTAGTACGTTCAAGAAAGTCACAGACCCATTTTGGATCTGGAGGGGCAGTGTGCTGAGGAGCAAAAAACTGGGAAAACACAAGGTAAGAGAGGGAAATCAAAGGATTGAAGGTATCAAAATCCTTTGCTTTATGCGGCATTTTATCTGGAATCTTGCTAAAGGTTAGCAAACTATTAAAATCGATATCATGTATTGTCAACTCTTAAATCAGTTTAGAATGCTGCAAACTTTAAGCTTCCACAGTTTAAATAAATCTATAATGCAGGCAGCTCACTCCAGCTCCTTTAATATCATCCATAGTTTTGTTGATCTATCCTCACCCTTTCCTCTCAGAGATGAGGATATGGAAAAACTAATAATATAATAGGTAACATTTTTAAGTGCCTGATAAATACAAGGGAGTATGATGAGCACTTTGATCTTCTTTGGTACATAGTGTTACTATTTTTACCCATCACACACATGAACACAAGAAATCTTAGAATGGTTAAGGAACTTGTTCAAGATCATGTTCCCAGGAGAGCGCTAGATCCAGGATTTGAAGATTTGTCCAATTCCAGATCCTACTTCTCCAGTGATTCTCCACTTGGGTTCCACGAACCTGGCAGGAGCATCAGTAACATATGCTCAGGAATTTTGTGATATCCTTATGAAATTTTTAAATTTTGTGGATATTTTCAATAAATACATATGTAAATTTTGCAGAATCTGGATAACCGCTTAAAAAGAGAAAGCTACCACTCCATGTCAATATGAATTTCCACTTATATTTAAAACCTTATTGGTGGCAAGTACCCCTTCAGTTGTCTTTTTTTTTTTTTTAAAGATTGGCACCTGGGCTAACAACTGTTGCCAATCTTTTTTTTTTTTCTCTGCTTTGTCTCCCCAAACCACCCCCGCAACCTCGTACACAGCTGTATATCTTAGTTGCACGTCATTCCAGTTGTGGGATGTGGGACGCCGCCTCAATGTGGCCTGACGAGTGGTGCCGTGTCCGCACCCAGGATCTGAACCCTGGGCCGCTGCAGTGGAGTGCATGAACTTAACCACTCGGCCACGGAGCTGGCCCCCTCAGTTGTCAAAGACTATTGTGGAAGCGACAAAAAGAAGTGAATTTAGTCCACAAACATATATCCAAATATGTAAGCACAGTTTCATATTCTATAATAATGAAATTAAAGCATTGAGGCAGAATTGAAAATAGTATAACATGCTAAACTTAGAAGAATATGTTTCTTGCAGTCAATATTACACTCAGTTTGAGAGCTGTAAAACATCATATACCACATTATACTAATGTCAATTATTTGAATCTGGTTATTTTTAAATTTAATTTACTGTATATTATAATCATATAATGTATAATATATATTGTATACAATAATGCTATGTATATAATGGGTGAATGAAAGCTGAAAGAAAAGTGGCATTATACCTAGTTTTATCTAATGTAATAAAATAATCAACAATGGGTTTTAAAAAGATTTTTTCTTAAAAAAATTATCCAAGTATTATTCAAAATTGGGAAGCACTCTCATCTGTAAAGTCCAGCGTTCATCCTTCTACTTTTGCTTTATTAGTGTTAGTTTTTTTCTTCAGGCATAATTCACCTGCACAGCTGCTAGTAATTTATTTAAATTTTAATCCAAAAGCTGATGTAAGGTGAAAATATACAAGTGCAGCAAAAAGTTAAGAAATCACTAGATAATGAAGAGAACAATGACACTGAGAGCGTGTTATTAATATCTTTTGGTTGAGATACCCTTCTAGAATAAGACCTCTGGCAATAGTTTTAAGTAGATAAAATGAAAGTTGCCAAGTGTGTATGGCTTATTACATTTGCCTTCAAGGAGTTCAGCTAAAATATAGTTGTGTCTACTGAAAATGCATATTTTCAACTAAGGCAGTATATTGAGATGAATAGGATCTCTCATAGTTCATAGATATGATTGAGAGCATAATCTACACTCTGTTCCACATTCTCACTCTTCTTTCTCACCCATCAGCCTACCTTTTCCCTCAACAGTCTAGTAAGACAGCACTCACTAATTCATTCAAAACTTCATCCTTAGGGGTGGCCTGGTGGCATAGTAGTTAAGTTCATGAGCTTGGCATCGGCAGACCACAGTTCACAAGTTCAGATCCTGGGCACAGACCTACACACTGCCCATCAAGCCATGCTTTGGCAGCATCCCACATACAAAATAGAGGAAGATTGGCACAGATGTTAGCTCAGGAACAATCTTCCTCAAGGCAAAAGAGGAAGATTGGCAATGGGTGTTAGCTCAGGGTGAATCTTCCTCGCCAAAAAAACCCAAAAAATGAAAAACAAACTTTATTCTTAATATGCTATCTTCTGTACTTTTTGAATTCTGTGTATCATTTTTCTTACTTGATCATACCTACTGTCAGCTTCTGTGACACTAAACCCATTTGGTATTCTTAAAACATCTGTAGAGGGCCATCTACTCGTAGTTTCAATCATGGGTCTATCATCCTTTACACAGCCCTTGAATATTGATATTCCTCCTAAGATATTATTATTATCTCACTTTATAAAATTCATGGTAAATCTTAACTATTAACAGTGTTCCAACTACTACCCATATTATAAAACTTTTGCTCCTGTCCGTTTAACACCTGAGCATCTATATTTGGATGTCTAGAGACGCTTAAAACTCAACAAATGCAAAAATGATTTTGGTCTCTTTCTCACAGTCTCTACTCCTGTTTTTGTATTTCTTATGTTGTAAATGGATTGACTGTCATCCATTTATCAATCCAGAATCATCACAAGCATCCTAGATTTCTTTATTTTCTTACCTCTTTATCTACTACTTATTATCTGGACATTTCTATATTCTATGAATATAATATCCTTAATGTGTATTAAATATATTTCACTGACCTCAATGATATTTTCACTATTCTTATTTCTGTCTTTCATGATGTCTCACAACTAGCATCTGTTTGGCATCTCTTTAATTTATCCTCCATATTCTATGAGAATGATCTTTCTTTCTACAATGCAAATTAGACCATGTAGTATTATTGTTAGAAACATTTTAATGTTTTGGTGTATTTTTAGGCTAAAGCTCAAATTGCTTAACTTATTCCAGAATGGTTTTTGTGGCATAATTCTCGCTTACCATTCTAGCCTCAAGTTATACTACTCTGAACACTTCCTCTTTGTCCACCTACAGAGAATTCGTTGTGGTTTTACCAAGGGCTCCTGGGCTTCCTTAACAGTAGTCTGTCCTCTTGGAATGCTCTTTCCTCTCCCCCAAACAGTTGTCAGGCTATACCTTACTTGTTACTGAAAATGAAACTCAAACAGTGTCTTCTTCCGGAATTTTCTTTTCCTATGCAGTAGAGAATCAGATGACTCATACAATTCCCAATTACTTTTCCTTTGCCCTCCTGTGCTCCAAATGATGGAAATCTAAGTGCTAACTCATCAAGTATCCCTTATGGTTAGAGTGAGTATGTGGCAATTGTGGCCAATGAACTGTCATCAGAAATCATATAGGGAGGATTTCCCTTCAGAAATATCAAGATAAAGCCCCAGGAGCAGAAAGAGTTTTCTTCTTTTTGGAATGTGGAGCAGTACATAATGCCTGGAGCAGCAGCAGCAGTCAACTTGTGACTATGAACTAAGAAGCAAGAAAAAAATGGAATAATGTATTCACAGGATTGTTGAGCTCCAAAGTCATTGTCAGAATCACCATTAGTCACCATTTAGCTTAAATCAGGATTAGATTTCTCTTACTTTCAGGGTAATGCATTTCTAATGTACTCTTCTAGCTTGATGTATTTGTTTTACCTTATAAAACACTCTGCTCACGCCTCCTATCACACAATAGCAGACCATAGTGCAATATATTGTACCAATTGATTTATTTGTCCATATCTTCCACTTGATTTTTTAAGGTCCAGAACAACGTTTTGGCTCTCAAGTACCTGGTCTTATATCTGGAAGACTACAGGCACCCAATAAAAGTCTAAGTAAAATAAATGATTATTCATATTAATTAAATATGCAAATGAATAAATAAATGGTGTTGCATGTCTTGAATGCCCAAACGAGTAACTCTTCAAGGAGAATCACACACTATACAGAGAAACTCTTAATTTTCAATGGACTATATTTGGCTTTTATGTTTTGGTTGGTGTAGCTTTCCAGACTCTATGCTTACTTAACTAAGTATATTTAATGTTCTTTGTGCAGAATAAATATCAGGATTCATCTTCATGGGCAGGGCTGGATACTTACTAAATGTCCCCAGTGACATCAATACCTCTAGTATAAATGCTTCCATTAACATAGGATGTCAGGCACAGTACAGTCAGTACTAATTCTTAATTCACAGCACACTATTTATTATATTAGGTGCTCCCTTCATTACTCCTTTTTAATCCTATTTCTCACCAATAGATATCCTTTCTGATTCTTTCACTATAGGCCCTTAGATATCTCTGTATCATTGAAAAATATGTAATCATGTTTTATAAGGGCATGTACTTAAAATTTACATGAACTTTATAAAATCTGTCCTGTGATAAATAATAATATGGCTCTTATTTTTTTTCAATTTTTTCACTAAAAGCTTTTTTTCTCTCATAACAAATGTTTTTGCTATTTTCATACCAGATGAACTCAATGTATTGTTTCTTTTGTTCAACATTTGTTTGGAGATTCTTCCATGGTATTGCATATATTTTCTCTGCAGAAATGGATTCCATTGTGAACATACCAGAAATTTTCATTAACTATTTTTGATAGACATTTTGCTTGTTTCCAATTTAAGTTGATATGAATAAGCCTCCTATAAACATTTTTTGTGAATTTCTCTTGTGAACCTAAGAATTCATTTCTGTTTGATATATTCCAAAGAGCGGAATTGCTGGGTCATAGGTCCTATCTATGTTTAGCTTTTGTGCAGGTTCCTAGTTTTCCGAGTGGCCATACCAATTACCAACAATAATGAGTTCCCAGTATTCTATATTTATAGCAAAACACTTTGTTTTCTTTGCATGATGGGTATCTGGTATCTCATTTTGGTTAAATTTTCATTTCCTGAATGACTTTATGCTCATGAGCTTATATGCTTTTTGGTGCTTTGACTATGATATTTGTGAAATCCTGATGAAGTAATTTTACAGTTTTTAACATTTATTTCCTCCATTCTTCACTCTGCAGAAAAACAGCCTTTCTGAAATTTATATCTGATCTTGTCGCTTCTGACATATTTCTTGATTTATCTTAGGATAAAGTCCAAACTTTCAAACGTGGCTTCTTAAGCATGACAGAAACTGGCACTTGCTGTACTCTCCAAGCACATCTCCCACTGTGCCCCACTTGCACCAAACTCCATTTCATATTGAACTTTCTTCAGTTAGCCGAATGCTCTGTGAATCACTGAATCCTCTTATGAGCAAAAACTGCTACATATAAAGAGTTGACTGGATCAGACATAAACTTTATGTACCCACTCAAGTTCAGCAACTGCCTTTTTCTTCCAGAGGCATAGCCTGAGTCTCCCTTCGGCTAAGCTACCCAAGCTGGCTGAAGTTTCCCCAGCTGGCAAGCCCTGCATGTCCCACACACTGGATGGTGTCAATCTGCACTGCCACTTGAATAAAAAGTATATCACAAGGTGGTGTATGGTTGACACTGCAATGAGTCATTCATCATCCCTCCAAAGACAAGGAACTTACTTGTCTGGTGGTAAGAAATACTGCCTGCTGACTATGCAGCTGAGGTTTTCCTAGGTATCGCCTTTAGCAGAAAGACAACGGCTCCTGTCAGATTACACATTCATCCTGGATACAGCCTCCCTCTAAGGACTGGCTGATAGAGAAATACAAAAGTCTTACCCCTTCGCCCGGCTTGAGGATGACTGTAAAGGGCCCCATAGCTGGGCTGAACATTCTGTTGTAACTGCCTGACTGTCCTACTTCCTTCTTCATAACTGTTGCTCCAGAGAGCGCTAGCCACCAAACTTGCTGCCTTCAAATTTCCATCTCTGAGTTCATTTCCTGGGGAATCTTCCCTACATTCCTGAGCAGCAACTCAGGGTAGGGCTGAAGCAATGTGGAAGTGCCTAAGAGCCCACTCCCTTTTAGAGTTAACTTTGAAAATGGGAAATGGAGGACAGGAAATGGCTGAGCAGATGAAGTGCTCTTCTTTTAGCCTTATGTCTGTTGCCCCGCATTATGGTTTCTCCTTATAAATCTTAATCCTAGGAAAGATTGTTGTCACAGCACACGCTGCCATCTTTTACTACCTTGTGGCACACATTGCTTCTATCTCTTTTGGTTTCACATTTTCTGTCCTCCTCACGTTCAACTCCCTAGGTTTGCACATCCAAAAAAAAAATAATCAAGATTTCAGTGTTCTGCTTTATAGAGGATCTGAGTTTAAGATAGAGACTCTTTTAGAGTGCAAGCAGAAAATAACTTTTTTTTCTTCCCACAAAAGTCTGATATTGTTGCTACTCCTCTGTAATATCTGAGATTGGCCTTAAATCTGTTCAATTATCTTTAAATAATTAAATTTCTCTGTCAGTGTCAGTAACAATATATATATATTTAAGAATTCTCACTTTGTGCTTTTGTTGTCATATTGTATGCCCACATATTCTGCAGAATACTTTACTAATTTTGTATTAAGTTGTGAAAATGTAAAGACATTTTAATATATATGTAGATACTATGCTTTCTGGTTCTCTTCCTTTTTCTTGCAGATTTGAGCTTTCACTTAGGAATTATTGCCACTAGTCTAAAGAATGTTTTTGAGCACCTCTTTCAATGCAGGTGTGCTGGAGAGAAATTTACTCAACTATCATTGTCCAAAGATGGCTTAATTTAATTCCTTAAAAAGTCCTCATTTTCCCTCTAATTTTATTCAACAATTATTTACGTATAATGAATTACTACTTTTAAGTGTACTGATTAATGGATTTTGGTAATTTTCTGCAACTATGTAACCACTAATAAGATAAAGAAAGTTCTTTCAGGGGCTGGACCCATGGCTGAGTGGTTAACTTCGTGCACTCTGCTTCGGTGGCCCAGGGTTTTGCAGGTTCTGATCCCGAGCGCAGACATGGCACCACTCATCAGGCCATGCTGAGGCAGTATCCCACATAGCGCAACTAGAAGGACCTACAAATAGAATATACAACTATGTACTGGGGGTCTTTAGGGAGAAGAAGAAGAAGAAAAGAAGATTGGCAACAGATGTTAGCTCAGGTGCCAATCTTCGAAAAAAAGACATTTCCTTCACCTTGAAAACATTTCCCATGCCCATTTGACTCAACTCTCTCCGTTTTTGGCAACCACTGGTCTACTTTGTGTTACTATAATATTTTTTTCTAGAATTTCATATAAATGGAATTATAGAGTACATAGATTTTGTGTTTTCCTTCTTTTAGGTAACATACCTTTTTCTAGATAGATCTATGTTCCTTGTATATATATTTCATCCCTTTGTATTGCTGAGTAGTATTCTATAGTGTAGATATGCTACAGTTTGTTTATCCATTTACCAATTGATGGACATTTGAGTTGCTTCCAGTTTTGCTATTCTGATTAATCTTGCTAGGAATATTTACACACACATCTTTGTATAGACTTGTTTGTTCTCTTATTTAAATACAAAGGAAAGATATTGTTGAGCCAAATGGTAAATGTATGTTTGACTTAATGAGGCACTGCCGTACTGTTTTCCAAAGTTGTTGTGCTATTTTGCATTCTCATCATTCCCATCAGCAAGATATGTGAATTATGTTTGCTCCACAGCCTTGGTAACACTTGGTATTGTGAATCATTTTAACCTTAGCAATTCTAGTGAGTGTATCATTGCATCTCACTGTAGTTTTAATTGCATTTATTTGTTGACAAGTGATGTTGAACATCTTTTCATGCACTTATTAGCCATTCATAAAGTTTATTTTGTGAAGTGTCTGTTTAAATATTTTGCTGTCTTTTTTCAAATCTTGAATTGCTAGAGTTATTTATATATTTTACATAAAAATCTGTCAGACTCAAATTTTGTAAAATTGTTCTCTACAGTACACAGGCCCTGGGCCCCTAGCAGTCCCTTTCAAATCTGCTTCATCTAACTTACGATGGGGGAAAGCAAACATTCCGTCTTTCTATTGGGAGAGGCGAGTACATCCTATAGCATTCCAGAAATATATTCCAAGTAAATTTCTTGGCTTCATTTAACAAAAGCCTTTTATAGTAGAATGGGCCAACAGCCACAAAATTGGTTTTAGGGCATCTTCTTGCAGATTCTGCACAGGTCATCTAGGACATGGCTTTCATCTGTGGGAATAATTACCATTGTAACCTCAGCTAAAGCTGAGAAAGACACACACAGGCAGCTAGATAATTAGCCAGATAGGTAAACAGATTTTTTTTGTTGGTTATTTTTTCCTCAAGTGCTTAGTATACTACTGTCTCTGCCTGGAAAACCTGCCTCATATGATTAGTATTCATTCTATTCCTTCAAAACTTCCTCAGGGAGGACACTCCTGACCTCACAGAGTAGACAATATGCCCCCGTTCTGTGCCTCAGAACACCTTTTCTTTTCTGACATAACACTCATAAAATTTATTGCAGTATCTACTGCCTAAGGTTTTCTTAGGGGATATGAAGAAGAAAAGAAGTGAAGGAAAGCAGGGAAAAAATTGTAGCAAGTTTCCAAAACATTTAGAACACTACACACATATTCCCAGAAGTACTGCTTCTCTGGAGTCTATTTGAAATTGTGGTTTGTTTCTGAAGCCAAGTGAATTTCCAGCCAAATTGGGGATGTACACAAGGACTGAAAAAGGAGCTTGTAGAATCCTTAGGCTACATTTACTAGTTTATTTAATAAATCAGATTCAAAGAGTCACGTTAGTTTTGGGACGATAATGATTTACATGTTGAGAATGCAAATGGCTGAGAACATAACATACTGTAGAACTGAGACTTTGTCATGCACCCAAAGAAAAGGACATGACCTACTGTGTGAATAATAATAAAAGAATTTTGATTGGCTCTATATTAACCTTAAAAATTGATTTTAACATTTCTCTGCCACTTAATGTTTTAAGATAATTGGTAGTAAAATAAGATATAAATATTAATTTTAGTGGTTAAAAAGATCAACTCTTTATCGTATCTTGGTTTTAAATTCTTTAATAAGAATTTATGAAAGACAGATCTCGTGTTTTTTCAATATGCTCTCTTACTGCTAGACATAGAGCTTACTAATTTGGCTTTTGGAGAGAATAAATCAAAGACAATATAACAAAATAAATGTTTGCATGCACATACCCTTAAAGACAGTGAACCAAAATCCTAATGAAAAATTTCTCCAGGAAAGTTAAAAGTTTTAAGAGATAATGAAATATGTACTATTAATGTAAATATTATTTTATTTATTATATTATTTTATTTACATATATTTCGTTCATAACTAACCTATAAGCAAAATTCAAAATAGGTTTGATAGGAAGTATCTATCTGGATTTTAGTAGTCCTTGCATTGGCCTAAATTAACAATATCTACAATAATAATAACTGACATTTATCCAATGCTTATTATGTGCCTGATACTTTGGCAAGCATTATCTCCTTCCATTTACAAAGCACGTTATTCTCATTTTACTTATGAGATAAATGAAGATTAAATGTTTTAGGTTCTTCACTGAAGTCCACACAACCATTAAGTGAAATAGCGAGGATTTGATTTGATCCTGACACTGATGACATAACCAAAAGTATCTATGGATTATCATAGAAAAGTGTCTTTTGTAAATAGCTTTCCTTATTCTTTCTCTACATGAAAGAAACAAAATTAACTTCCACTCAGGAAAGATTGGAATCTCATCTGATTGCACATTTCACATAAATAAAGAGAAATTTATCAAAATAAAAGGGCTTTGGTTACCACGAAATGTAAAAAGAAAAGCCACAGGTCAAAAATGACAATTCCTATCCAAACAATTCCTCTCCTCAGGCAGACTTGCAGATTTAGCAAATGGAAATTTTGTATTCCAATTCCATTGGCATGTGTATTTATAAAATAGATTGTTTCCTGTGGCACTGACAGAACTATACATACATTAAGATATCTGCATTGTATTTGTAAATATTTTATTGTTAAAGATTACATTCACTCAATATCCTCCCCCTCAGGTTCTCCAATTAATCAGTCTTTTAATTAATGTTTACTTTCTTTCATAAATATATTAACATAGGATTACACATTTATCCTATTGATAATAAGTAGAATTTGTCATTTCATATTCATGTTTTGGCATTCTCTTATTCTATATAAATTTCTTGATTTATGTTTATATGAAATGTGTTTTAATCCCATTCACTCAAAGGCCAGATCACATACTGTGGTAAAAACATAATTATGCCATCATATGAGATTGCGTGACACACTTTTCCACCGGTGGTGATATGCTGGTGGCATCGCTATTGGCAGCATATGACTATTTCCTCAGGTTCTAAATTCCTCTGTTCTTAGAAAATTTCTATTTAAACAATAAAACATGTCATGATGTTTTCATAAAGAAAATATTTGACATTCTTTTCATTCAAAAACTCAAACACCCCAAGAGGAAAGACATGAATATTAGCCTTACCAAGAATATATCAAGAGTATAACTATAAAGTGGCAGGCGCTGTAGTTCAATAGTGATTGATGAATTTTAAGATTATGTTGATAACATGACAAGGGCAATAGGATAGCGGAAGAAGTCTGTGGAAAATGAAAGTATGACAAAATATTGTATTTCACTATACAACTTAGAAGACCACGTTTCTCAATTAGAAATTATGAGGCATTAAACAAATCAGAAATATCATAATAAAATAGGTCCGTTTGTATCACACATTTTCATATTAGTTAAGAGATTTTACTGAAGTCATTAAAAACTACATGATTGGTACCATTATTTTCTTCCTAAAACTTCTAAAACAGTAAGTCTT